GCACTAAGAATATCAAAACAAAAATCATCATAAGCCATAGTGAAACAGCAGTATGTGTCCAACAAATTAAGTTCGAAAACTGCGGCAGAACTATAAGAATTGAGCAAGAAGGGTCTACTTGTAAAACATACCTGGGTTTCCTTACTTTGTGTGGACGGCTTATCAGTTTCTGTGGAGTTATCCTGAAAAAAATTAACTAGAATTCTTGCGATCTAGTATAGTTCCCCACAGATCTGCTGGAGGAGCAGTTGTATTTGTTCATTTCTGCCTTGTAGATTTGAATAAACAGACTTCTCAAATTACTTACTATGTAAGGCTGTGGTTTTTCAGTCTGTGTGTTTGTGCTCTCCATGATTCTTGAGGATTCGTCTACGGTCTAAGAAAGTGTATTTACTACTCCTTTAATAAGCCTTCAATGGTGAAGCACACACAGTAACACAGCAAAAGAATTTATTAGATATCTCAGTTGAGCAGAATGTGTACAGCAAGATGATTTCCAAGTGGAACGTATGTGACGAGCAAACTATTGCGGTCTACTTGTAGAAAATACCTGAATCTCCTCATTTCTCGTGATCGGTGCGCTGGTTTCGGTGGAGTTATCCTAAATTTGAAGTTACCATTGATTGAATGAATAAACCTAGTTGCTACTCGTTTCTTGACCGAAACCAATTTTGTCATGTACGGTGTTCTAGAAATTTTGGTATGGTACAGAGACGAACAACTTGCAGCCAAACGCCTCCACTACCCGTTTCTACTACTGAAGTTCATAACCGAAACTGGTCATCGTGCGATCTTAAGGTGAGTCAGTTACCGTATCTTGGTTCGGTCTCAAGAACACCAGCAACAGAGTGGCAATTCGGACTACTGTTTCCAGGTAGTGTTGAGAACCGGATGAAGACACGGTGAGTGGCCCACCTTGCGACTGTATGAGGACCTGTTTTGGTCTCGAATTCAGTAGGGTTGTGGGGGCGTTTTGTCGGTGCTCACAAACTGCTTCAATTCTTCCAGGCTCTAAAGAAGGCGGTGCCCCCAGAACGTCAGCCAATATAATCTACAAGACAATCTTGTGAACTGTTCAGCAGAAGATATCAATCGCTACCTATCCCCTAATGACACAGCTAATGTTACAGATAACATTCCCTTACTCTGTTCTGGATACGTTAACAGGCGTACATCAAACCGCTCACCAGGTAAGGTTTTGTCCTTTCAGTCTGCGTCTCGATGCTCTCCATGATTTTGGGAGTATCGGAGCTTGTCTGAGAACATGATATTTTGTGGAGTAAATACAGGAAATGAGCGAAAAAAGCGACAACATGCTGAGGAGAAAATAAAAAAATTTCAAGATGGTATTGCTCGTGCGAGCCTAGAGCGGTCTACTTAAAGAATGTACCTGGGTCTCCTCATTGCGCATGAGTGGTTTGCTGGTTTCGGTAGAGTTATCCTGAAAGAGAATCACAAAAATGATTGCTACGAGTTTCCACATAAGGATGCTGGTGCAGTAGGTCACTGTTTTTTTCTGTCTCGTAGATCTTTGGTAGACCTTTCAAATCACTTACCAAGTAGGGCTGCGGTCTCTCAGTCTGTGTGTCAGTGCTTTCCAAGGCACTAGAGCTTTCAGCGTCAGTCTGGCAACATGATAAACTTATAATTTCCAAGGTTACGTTCAGTAAGTCAATAAAAAAACAAAAGCAGCACATTTCCAAGGAAATGACAAAAGACTTGCGTTTTGCTGGTAATATTTATAGAAAACTCCAGAAAAAAACATTAATTTAAATATCACCTGCAAAACGGTGAAAAATTTGAGCAAGACCTATTTAATTTGGGCGCAAGTGTAGCCAAGAAACGGAAACAGCGTATATTTGTGTCCGCTACCGCATACATTACGCGCTGCTCCCGATGTATTAAATGTGTTTACCTGAACTCCGCCAGTGCGCGTTAGCAGTTCATTGGTTTGAGAAAAACCGTCCTGAAATGGAGTAATTCTTTACATTGTCTAATCACGTAGAACTGTTATGGCACAATTCATTAAACCGTAGACGGCTGATGAAGGTCGGTCTCCGTGTCAGCGTTGCTCTGGGTTGCAAAACTTCCACAGATTGTCTGCAAAGTAGAATTTCATCAAAGCAATTGCTACATTTGAAATATTATAGAGCAATCAATTTTTTTGGAGAATCTTGGCATGACACATGGGACTCTTCTAAGACTCATAAGCGTACCTGGACTTCATTGTTATACATCCGAGCCTCATTGGTCTGCGTGGAATCATCCTATAAGCGAATGCCTTTGAAATATGGAAGTTGTTGCACAGAAATTTGTTACTATAGCAGCACTTGATGGCATGATTGCAAGGTAGCTGGTCCCAAACTATATAACCTCTTCAAGTTGGACGTTTTTACGGATTGTGTTTCGCTATGCACTGGGTGTCTTCGAAAAGGCCTTGTTCTAGCAGGTCTCACGCTCTATTAACTCACTTCGCGTTGCTCTACGCAGATTGTTTTCGCTTTGCTGATAATTATCCCCAGCATAACCACGAACTGCCGTGGAAATGACTTCTGTAACTTTAGATCATTGTTAGCCATCCAAAAATGTTAAGCCTTGCATGGCTAACAACCAGAAGAAAATTCACAACCAATTGTTGGGAAACGCTATGAGAACGTGTCAAAATAATGGTAGTTCATACACAACCACCAACGAATAAACTGCGCACCGCTCTGTGGTAACTTGCACAGTATCAAAGAGGGCATAATAGAAGTTTGAAATTTGCGGTGCGGACCGAAATGTCTATAGACCGGGAAAAAAGAGGATGAAGACATGTAAATGAGGAGAATTCATGCTTACGCTGGGCAGGGTACACGTAAGGATGGGCGGAGCTGACGATGAGGTTGTGAATATCACTTGCCCGTTCAACATCGCTTGACCAAGGGTGGTGCACGCGCTACTGAGCGAAGCCAAGAAAATATTACCACAAAACGATGCGTACGCTGTGTGGTCTCAAGGCCCTCTTTAAAGTCAACATGATTTTTTTTCATTTCCATTCCTTTTGCATTTGCAGGGTGTTTTTTTTGTTTTGTTAAGACCTTGGAAAAACTTTTGGTCAGAACGAGCCTTCCCAAGAAATGCAGTGTACGTTAATGGAGTATGACATGTGCACAACATTCGGGATGTTTTGATAGGGCCAAGACGCTGAGGCCCTATAGTGCAGCAATGATCACCAGTACCAGTGAGCCCGGTGACAGATCACTTCTACTTCGCTCTGTCGCCACTAGAGACGGGCACTTATTTTCATCCGTGTCAAGTATCTCATCCCGTTTTTTCCATAACTCCCTTCACGCTCCACATCTCCACTGTCACTCGAGTGCGTAATAATAGATCCTCACTTCGCCTTAGAGGGAATTCTTAGCAACAACAGTACACCTGTTCCAAATCGTTTACTTACAATAAAGTAGTCACAGCTTTCTTCTCTGAAAATTTCCCAGCTCAGACTGAAGTTTCCGATGCCAACTGCAGATCATGCTGCACTCACGCAACATTCTCGGCTTCATCAATATACCGGGAAGAGGCAAAAAGGTTCCTCTGCTCGCGGCGCATAGCAACAAACTTGCTGCGGCACAGAATGCAACTGTTGATTGAAATCTTACGTCAAAATCTCTAGAATTTTCCTCATAAATATAAGAGCCCCTACACGAGCGACAGCATAAATAGATTTTTCTGTTGTCTTGAAGAAGCATGGCAAGTCGGAACTCGCCTAACTATAAGAAATGTTCCAAGTTCCTATACTCCTCTCCCCCAAAACGACTAATTTGAACGTGTGTCTCAAATTTTTGTACAATCCATCTGATAAGTGGAAAAAGAGTTAGCAAAAGTTCATTTGACTGGCTAAAATACTATTACACGCAAGATTCAAGCAAGATTCGCGAGATCAAGATTTGAGGTGTACTAGGCGCCATTCTTCTGCCAACAGATTCTTCAACAAGGTAATTTGGTATCCTGTGAACTCATGAAACATAATTTCGTGGACAGCTGCTGCTTTACAGATAAAAGAAACAGTCTAACCCTTCCACAACATCACCTTTACCAATGGTTTTTGATAATCCAACAAGGGTAGCATTGTCTACCTAACCACATTGCGTCACTATTTTGTATTTTTTCTCTGTCAATTTCCTTCAATAAAACAACATACTTCATTGTCCGTGTACTGCGCTGCCGAATCGGTCTGGGTGCTCTCTTCGACCAGGAAGCCTTCTATATTATTATCTTCATTGTCCGACAAGAACACATCATCTTCTTCCTGTTGCTTATCATTAAGCTCAGCGATATCGACTATCTCTCTACCGCTTTCATCAACAGGTTTGATCACGAGCGAAACACTGACATTCACCTAAAACAGAGCATTTTTTTGAAAAACACTGTTTGGAAGTACAAGTGATTTCGATAGAAGAGGGTTGCAACAATCGTAGACGAAATTGTTTCTAAGAACCTGTTGTCTGTGGGTGGGTAGGTAACCCCACAAGTATCATGGATGTGGAATTGTCGCAGCTCGAAAGTGCGCCTGATGGCGAGATAGATGTGAACTTAGGACGAGATAAGTGCCTCATACATCGTAGGTTACGGGGTAGCTGCTCATGGGAGTACGCACGAAATTGTGGAGCCGTGAAGCAAGTGTGTTCTCACAACTCGTCCTTCACCTACTCTTCCTTTAAGGAGAGAAGGTAGGGAATACTTGGTAATGGCTTCATCGGCAGTTTGCTGTGGTACTTTTATCATTTTTAGTCAGTAACACATCAACAATTTCACTATCGACCTCTGTTACCACACCAATTTGATTTGGGATTGTTGCTTTGATTGTATCTATAGCAGACACACTATGTCCAAAGAGTGACGTGGTATGTAACATAAAACCAAAACCGACATGTAAGAATCATGACTACTGCACACGCTTCACAAATTCAAACCTAACCTCCTCCACATCGAGTGGGTCTCCTTCACTTAGTCCTGATGGTGTCAGTGGTTCAACAGAACGGCGCTTGTCTGAAAGCATTTAAAAGGTTACTTCGTACTGACATTTGTCAATTAAAATTCACTTTTTTCTGTTCTCGATTCAACCTTCGGGCTGAAACAATATTTGCTTCGCGCGTGTGTTCTATGGCTACAGTAGCGCTTACAAGTCTGCGGCAACACGTTTTTCAACTGAACCCTCTTTTAGCACATTGGAGACCGCGCATGTTTCACGTTTTTTGGCGATGTGGGACTTCAGTGAAATTTTTAGGAATGTTATCAAGCAAATTGAGAAGAAAATTCTACTGGTGATGCAGAAGAATCCTTATCGAATGAAATGGAAAAGAAAGCAAAAGAAAAACTTGGCATTTGTTTCCGAAATGTGAGCTGAAAGGTCCTACGCGGTCGACGGACTGCAGCCCACATATGGGCTGCAGGGCTCCAAGGTGTTAATGAACCATCTTACATCAACTTTCCCCATGCCAATCTCAGCGATATAGCAAAGCACCAAGCCCACCGTTTTAGCAGCCTACATTTTGTCAAAACTCGGAATAAGCGGGAAATGCGGACAGCTCGCATTCAAATAACACCGTTTGATTCCAAATAGCCAATATCTTGAACACTAAAAATCTACGTTCAGAGGAATATGATGGCATGTCATTAACAACCACTTCGCGCCGCACGCTGTTGCCCGGGGCGATAGAATATTTAGATTATTTTAGAATATTTGACCTATGCTATCCGTATGCAACATGCTCAACCACTATTGGATTTTGGCCTCCCCTCTCGTCAACCTTTTTTCGCTTTTTTCCGGTATCCAGACTGCTTCTGGAACCAATTTACAAATCTCGTGATAAACTCCTCCCATTTCGGAGCATGTCCCGCCCAGTTTTTCTTCCTCGCCAACCTCTCCTCAATTTTCTCGGATCTCAGAACTGTCTCTGAGTCGATTTATGTGGTTAGCGGAAATCTTGCCCAATTTGGTGTAAGAGCCACCCACCAAGGGCAGTTGAACTTGCTTAAGCCGCTACCCACTTCTTTTTCTGTCTCTGGGACTTCTCAGAACCGCCCTAATGGTTAATGGATAACTTCGCCCAATTCGGTGTATGCCTCCCCATTGGGAGCAGTTAATTTTGTTCCTATCGCAAACCTTTATCCACCTTTCTCCCGCTATCCGCGGCTTCTCCGAACCGATTTATGATCTTGTAGGAAACGCTGTACACTTCAGAGCGCGCTCCGCCCATTGTGGGCGGGCCTACATCATGTATGCTGGGAACACCTTAGACATTGCTCCCTACACCAATTGTTTTCTGCTCTGTAGGCTTTCTCCCAACCGAGTTATGAAATTTTTCATAAAGCACTGCTTTTTTAGAACGCCCCGCCACCGGGGGTGGGTCTCCCTAATTCGATGTGACTTATCAATGCACACCTTTACCCATTTCCCCAGTCTTTGGGCCGTTTTGGAATCTAATTTGAAATCTTGGACGTCAGTGCCGCCCACTTCGGTGGACACCATGCTCTCCCTCCATACGTGTTTATATAGCCGTTGGGGTGTTATCACAATCATGCCATTGCAAAACATTGATAGCGCAAGTCCTGCGAGCTACCCGATTTGTTAGCGGCTTGTTTATTCCATTAGCTGCCTTATCACTCACTTCATTTTGCGGACGGACAGACAGACATACACACAAACCGACACACCAAGTTAGCTATATATTAGGTTGTCTCATAAATAGTGTCGCTTTTTTTCAACCAAAAAATTTTCATCTAAATCCCCATGCTTTTACATCGAGTCATATACCATTCGAAAGAGAATTGTCTGCTCTACAAGATGCTATGTTCTTCTTCCACCTCTGTTCCAGGGTTTTCAAATTTTAGGCCTGCGAAATGGGAGGTCCAGCCGACAAAAATTGACCAAACCGACAACTAGCTCTAACTTTATTTTCCCTTGGAGAAATCAATCAATGATGTACCCTCTACTTACTCATGACCTCTTCTGAACATTCCACTCTTAGGTTGCCGAAAAAGCTTTGCCGTGTTTCTTTTCGAATTGGCTGACCGATAAGCCATAGCAATTTTCAAATTAAAATTGTTCCTCGTAAACGCCATTGTTTCATATCGAGTGGTGTTCCTTTTGTGAGCACTTCTTCTGCTCTATTCGCTCATTTGTTTTGTTTTTATGTTTGTTGGGAATTAGTTCGAATTTTAGGTGTTTAGGAATAAGGTGCTTTTATCCACGAAAGTGACCGCATTTCTTTGAAAAAATTATCCCTGAGAAGATGAGAAAATCAACCAGGCGTACATTCCTAACTTAGTCATGACTTGTTCTTGAAATTCTACTAGTTTTTCAATGTCTCGGCTATAAAAAAATTTCGACCTAGATCTCAGGTAATGGTGCTCGACCGTCGAGTTCTGGTTGAAAAACCAGGTCTGGAAATGGAATGACGCGACTTGTTGGGAAACCTAATAGTGTAATGTTTAGAAGAGGTCATGCATAAGTAGAGGGTACATCATTGATTGATTTCTCCCAAGGGAAGATAAAGTTAGAGATAGTTGTCGGTTTGGTCAATTTTTGTCGGCTGGACCTCCCATTTCGCAGGCCCTAAAATTTGAAAACCCTGGAACATAGATGGAAGAAGAACATAGCATCTTGTAGAGCAGACAATTCTCTTTCGAATGGTATATGACTCGATGTAAAAGCATGGGGATTTAGATGAAAATTTTTTGGTTGAAAAAAAGCGACACTATTTATGAGACAACCTAATAGAAGGATAGACCATTCCGAACTTTTCGTGTCGTCTGAACAAGTTTTTGGGAATTGGTTCTGTTCGGCACTCTTGTTTAAGCTCAGGTCATCGTTTTGGTCATTCCTCTTGTTGGTAATTCTCCTCTACACATTGGGTAACGGCAGTCCGTTCACATTTTCTTACGGGTTCAGCTTAGAGATGGTCTCATTTTCCATTACTATTCACATGTTTGGACGGCTTGTAGAAAACCGTGAGCCTCGAAGAAATCATTTAGCTCTCAGTCCAGCTGTTTGCTTTCCGCGCAATCGCATTCCAACTTGAACAGGTCTTTGTCAGAACTTGGAAAACAAATTTCTTCTTTTGCAAACCAATAACAGCAATAGATAAATGATTTGGGAGGAATAAGCACACAGAATCTTCATGCAAGGTTTGAAACAATGCGAAATGTTGCGCGCAAGTAATTTCTCGCCACCTAATAGACCGAACGTTTTTACCGGCGAGACCTCAGAAAAGTAGATTTGTTCAGCAGAAGTCGTGACTAGGTCCGAAGAGCATGTTTGAAAGATTTCACATCTTTTTAAGGATCTTCTCTCAAAGTAATGTGTTGATTCACACCCTATGACCTCCATCCACAATGAAATTAAACACGAATGAATAGCGCAGAAAATGCTTACAAATTTTAGGTGAAGCTATTTCAAAGGACGATGTGTTAGAGGAAAAAGTCCAGTTCAAAGAACGCTTGTCCTAGCAGTCAACCATAGAAGTCAACTTCGAAAAGAAACACGCTTGGGCTCTCCAGACAACCTGATAGCAGAATGTTTAGAAGAGCTCGAAACTGTATACGACACGTCATTTTTCCTATTGGAAAGCGAGTGAGAGTTAATTGCTGGTTTGGCTGATTTTTGTCAACTGGACCTCCCACTCCCAGGTGGCGGATAGGGGGTGAACCGCGGACCAAAAGCCACCATGTACTTGCCCTGAGACGCAGGTGGATTCAGGGGATGGACTCCCTGTTTCTGTAGTGCTGTGTTGATTCATACCAGCTGTCTCCACTCAGGCGCATCCATGCATGCTTGCGTGTGTGGTGTGTGTGCGGTTGGTATCCTGCATGTCGGCACAGCCAAAAGCTTGCATTCAAGTGACTGGGAAGTACATGGGAGGCGATTCGGGGCCGCCTCCAAAAATAAGCCCCTTGTTCCGCTCCAGGATAGCGTGGCTAACTACCTGGAAGGTCTATCCTACCCCAATCTTCAAAGCCTGGCAGGCTACTCGTAGGCGTCAACATGCGGGAACCAGCATTATGAATGGACATCATTCCCCTATACCTGAGAGAGCCTACGAAACGGCAGCATTGGGTAGGACCGCTCCGGAAAGCCTGCTATATTCTCAAGGTCTGGATAGGCTGAAACGAATAAGGACTAAAATGGCGATCAGTACTGAACATGAACATAGATTCTACGAAATCTAACGGCCCCAATCGGAAGATTGAGATCATGATGCGGTTCTACTCCTGCTTTGACAACTTCCTGTCAATACGCACCAACATCCAGCTACGACGAAGAAGAACACGAAGCATTCTATATGGAATTGGAGAAGTTCTACAGGGAAGATCATACCTTCTTCAAGGTCATCGTCGGCGACTTCAACGCTAAGATTGGCCCAAGAAGAACGGCTGAAGAACTTCACATCGGTACTCACGGAATGGAATGGAATGAGCAGGGCGAAAGACTGTCTCATGTCGACCAACACCATCCATGGTAACTCACAGTTCCAAAAGCCCTCTCACCTTCGTTGGACTTGGGAGTCACCTGATGGACAGTTCCATAACGAGATAGACCACATCATCTTCAATCGAAGGTTTTGCCTGACCGACGTCGCTGTTGTTCCAAAGTTCTACACGGGATCGGACCATCGTCTCCTCCGCGCAAGATTCCACTTCTCGATGCGTGTTGAGAGAGCAGCAAAGTTCAGGAAGCGAAGCCCAGGACAGTCATCAACTGGGACCACTTCGCTTCCCTCGTCAGCTTATGGGAGGATTCCGTCATCGAAAACATCGACGAGGAGTACTATCGGCTCGTTGAACACCTTCACGAGATGGCAGGAAGGCAGAGAGTTTAAAAGTCACCAAGCGACTGTGGTAAACTCTCGACTTGATACGCCAACGTGGAGCCGCACGAGCTGCAGGCAATCACCAACACGTCCGAGCTTGCGAAGCTATGCAGAGAGGCGATAAAGGAAGATCTCAAGGAGCGAAGAGCAGCAGTATTAGCTGAAGCAGCAGAGGCTGGGAGGAGCA